CGCCTGCGCGGCGGGTGGGGGAGGGGGAGGGGGTAGGCTAATGGTAGTGTACTCGAGTTGTCTTTCGATATGTTTCCTATATTATGCGTTTATTATATGAATGTTCTCCTTTATTGTAAATGTTCATGGATACATAGTAACTATTTGCGGAGTCTTGTCCCACATGGTGTGCACTACTTATATTCAATTTGTAGATATTTTAATTATATTATAGTATAATGTTTTATGCGTTGTCTTATTTGCTTGAATCCTCGAAGGTGAAATCCGAAAATAATTATAATTTGACCCACGGAGCTCGGTGGGAGATCTACCTCAATTAATTTATCACAAGTTTGGGCATAATAATGATAGCGAATGTTACTTTATTGGACCTTGGAATTTGTTCGACCTAGTGGTTGTTTAGTTTTTTTTTATTGAAATGGTTTGTCCACATGTCACAAGTACTGTATCTTATATTAAATACATATTGTATGATTGATTCTTGAGAGTTTTATTCGGCGATAACAATCCCTCTAAATTATAATTTGACTTCAAGAAATTCCTCTAACCATGTATGGGTCCCACCGAACTTGGAACTAGAGGAAGAAACTAAAAGCTTCAGAATCATTTTAACCCTATGTTATGTGACTTCTTGTAAACAGGAATAAAATTCTAAGCATAAATAAAATGGCAGAAAACTATTGTACTAAAAAATATTGCAAATGGTAACTACTACAAATTAATTTCTAATGAGTTTTTCGAATTTGAATTTAATACCCATATGTTAATAAACATACTTTAGTTTTAAAATCCAAGTTCTCTCGATCAAAATGCATATAAAATTTTCCATTACGACGAAGCCAAAAGCGTATGTGCACATATATAACTTTGCCAACGGTGCAAAGCGCATCAATTTACTTATTCAAGGAACAGCACGGCGCAACTTATTGCTTTATGCCGCCCTACGACACAACGCGACACGAGAGAAAGATAAGAAGACAAAGACTGGCCACCAGGGCAGCAGCGAAACTGTCTTTAGTTATTGATAGAACTAAAAAGGGGAATGATTGAAGTCATCATTTGGTAGGTCAAATGTTGCGGATTCACATTTTCAAATGTTGTTCAAATGAGTTTGCACAAAAATATCGCTACAAGTAATGGTAAAGTAACTAGTAAGTTGTTTTTAAGGTGGAAAAATGGAAAGCGGCAGTATTTAGCTTCAGCCGTAGAAGATGGAAGATGTATAATTTCGATTTTAATGGAAATAAAACTTTTTTTATTTTTACATTAATCCCTGCATCTAAGTTGAAGTCTGATACATATTCAAAAATACCTAACAGAATCTTGGCATATGTGGGATTTCATGTTTGATTACTTGCGTAATGTTTAATTTCTTTAAACTTTACAATCATTGAAATATGAAGATTATACAGATTCAAGAACATGTTGCATTCACTCGAAGGACCTCAAATCATAGAAAAGTGTAATAAAAAGTAAACGCTTGCCTTCACCTAGTCGATTACTATTTTTATGTCCAAACTAGCTTTAGTCCGCAGTCCGTCTGCGTGGAATTAAAAAAACAAAAGTAAGTCGTCCTATGTGTTATAGACTATCCTTTACGTCTCTGTCAAATTTCATCGATATCCGTTCTGCAATTTAGACTACAAACTTCTAACTACCATCCATCCATCTAAACTTTCGCATTTATAATATGAGTAAGAAGTGAGATAGGATATACAAATCACGTTTAATAAAAGATTCCTCTTGAGTGGACATAATGCAACGTTCTTAGCCGAAGTGAGTGAGGTTATATCTCACATTGGCACGATCTCGACGGAAAACAATATGTTTCTGTAAAGTTTTTCCAAACATAAGAAGAATACTACTCCATCAACACAGAAATATAACAAAATCTTTCAAATAAAGAATTATGTGCCAGTATTAAACGACAAAGAACATTCCAGAAACATGTCGCAATAGTCAGGTAGAAATGACTTCATTGCTGCTCACACGTGATAGGTATTCAATTTACACAAGGGAGCGCTGGCGATAAAGGTTTCTCATGAAGTATCGGACACCGCGGCAGGCGCGCACAACGGGAGGCCTCCTGATTTTCTCCTTTAATTTGCACATTGCATTATTTACACAATGGGTACTAACTTAGAATGATACCTAAATTGTGAGGTTATAGAATCTTTTGGGTAGACAAGCAATACAAGGAAGATAACGTCCACTTTTTCCTAGAGCCTAAATGAATTGACTGATTATTTACGTTTAGTTTGGTAGTTACATGCCGCAATATGAAAATGCTTCATATAAGTAATAACTAATATTTCTTGTAAAGCGGCTGAAAAGCTACAGCCCTAAGAAGTGTATTAATTTCCAACAATTATACAACAGTACATATATGAGATGTAAGTATATTATATACGTAATAGTAGTTACTAACTAATTTCGTATAACTATATGGTACGACATGCAGAACATCCTTAAGAACTGACCTACGAAAATTATCACATCTATTTTAAATCAATACGAAGGAGAAGGGAACAGAATTTCTCTTTAAAAATAGGTAAAAAATCGTGGGCACCTCTGTTACAAAAAACTTCATGTCTCCAGGACAATCTACACAGACATTTTCACTTTAACATCTCTGCAGTCTACACTAAGTCAGCGACATTCTCTACTTATATCTTTAAAACCACCTTTCAGAATCAGTTTAAACAGTTTAATAAAGTACAGAAAATGTTTTACAAGAATGTATTCTATAATCATTTCAATGTGAAAGAAAGCATTCAATTTTCTTTTGTAATTAAAATTAAAACATTAACATAATCAGAACAAACAAAACTTTATTTTGTTACTTTCAAAATACATTGTTTAATATTTGAAAAGATCATCGTGTACATGATGACAGGTTCACACATGGCCAGTAGAGTTGGACAGTTGCGACTGATCATAAATTGTATGGACTCACTGGTGCCATTTTATGTTTACACTATGCCAGTTGATTGCCAGTGCAGTTATTGAGCGCTACTGAACAACTGTACTAAGGGTGATTTTAAGAACACGCCAACAATTATCTAACCCCCCAAATGATTCACACTTCAGTCTTGTTTACTAATTTGTTCTGAATTAATTTACAAGTCATTTTTTATGAAGCAGTTTTGATTACATTTCTAGGTATATTATTAAAACATTAGGTACAAATTATAAAATAAATGAACAAATGATGTTTGTTAAGCCCTGACAAAAGCTGCAAGTAGCGATGTCAGCAGTTTGGGCAGTAATAAACAAGGAGTGCTGCTCGTTGCGGTCACTCTGGCCTCGGACATCGCCCACCTCTGCCCTCTGCTGGGAACCTGGTAAGAACTCTCTATTTTTACTTACTGTTTTTTTATATTTGTTTAGAATAAGATTGTAAATTTCCTCGTGGTTTTAAAGCCAATAAGTATCTTTATATCTTATTCGACAAAGTTCCTATTTTTCTGAATATATTTGTGACCTTCCAAGAACTTAATTTATTTTGCTATTCTTTAGATGGATTTGGGATTTAGCCAAATAAATGTACTGAAATTGACAAAGCGAAATTGATTTTAATTGCCTTTGAATTCTGTTTACTGCATAATTCTGAAAAGACAAGCTTGTACAGATTACAATATTTATTTTCAGGGTTACCTGTAGAAAAGATGCCACCAACGAGTAACGGTAAGAATTATTGTAACTACTTCCATATTTATGTTTTTTGTATATGTTCTTTTTCTGTATTTTTGTTACGCTAACCTGTGTAATGTAATTAGATCTGAGCTATGCTTTATGGTAGAAAAATGTAAGAATCAACTTTAAAGCGAATATTAACACCTAACCTAGATTATCGGCTAGCGATCGACGACGATTTACTTTTTCGATACTCTACCTCTTGGCAACGCCTATGAAAATGACCCTTATCTTGTAGACAAATGATTTTTGTACGACATGTGATGTAGCGTCTTTAGA